CTGGTGACGGCATGACGACTAGATACCCAGATGTTGAAGGTGGCGAAAGTCCGATGGCGCAGACCCAGAGCTCCCCAAAGCCGACAGCCCACGGCGGACACGAAGGGAGGATGAGCCAAGATAGAAGGCATGGCTGCCGACATCTGGGGGACGATGAATGGAGACGAGGGCCCAGGCTCTGATGGCGCAGACTGAGGGTCGATGGTGCTGGCTACCCAGGCGAGCGCCACAGGTTGAACCAGAGCACCCGAGGACTGGGGCGACGGTCGTGAGACCGAGGACTGAGGTGATGCTGAAGGGAGGAAGGAGCCCGCTGCAGCCGTAGGGGAGAAGGGAGTGGAGCCCGTATGTCCTCTGGGTCTGGCTGGGTTCTGGGCTGTACACTCTCCAGACACCTCGCGACGGCTTCCCTCCAACTCAGTCCGGTGGTGTCTGGGAGGTTGATGGGGTTGTGGAAGTTTACAGATCCAGAACAGGGTCTTTATGGTCTCGTCGTCGAGCGGGCTGATGACGGCAAGACAGAAAAACCCAGCAGTGAAGGGAAGGTATAAAAATCGTGGCTCTTCTGAGCCAATGCAAAAAATTGCTCTCTTAAAGCCATTTTTCTTTTTCTTTTTCTTTTTAAAGATTCTGTCACGAGTGTTTGCAGGAAGGCAGACGAAGAGGAAAAATAAAGTGTAATGATGATAATACAAGATAATAGTGATGGCAATTGCAAAACACTGCTTCATGAAGCTTCGAAGCCTTTAAAAATTGTTTGTTCCGAATCAATGGTTCGGACCGTGTATCAAACTGCCAGAGTCACGTGATTTCAGTAAACGAGGCTCCATTACTTCATAACTGTTTCGAAACACTTCGTAATTTCAATGGTTCACCGCTGGGGGCGATGATCTCTGTCAACCCATGAATCACGAGGATTCACTAAGAACCTTTGAACAAGTGTCTGTGGGTTTTACCTGATCTCTGATCAGTTTTATACATTTGTAGACTATTTAATTAGGCAAGGCAAGGCAAGTTTATTTATATAGCACATTTCATACACATTGGTAATTCAAAGTGCTTTACATAGGAGGAAATAATTAAAACAGTTTAGAATAAAAAATAAAATAAAGTACAGTAAAAACAGTCGGACGAGCATTGGCACAGTGCTCATTCAGTAAATGCATAGCTAAACAGATGTGTTTTTAGTCTGGCTTTGAATGTGACTACTGTAGGAGCACATCTGATCTCTTCTGGAAGCTGGTTCCAGTTGCGGCTGGCATAATAGCTAAAAGCAGACTCTGCATGCTTAGAGTGAACCCTTGGTATTTCTAGCTGATGTGATCCTAATGATCTGAGTGATCTGTTGGGTTTATATTCAGTGAGCATATCTGCAATATATTGAGGTCCTAGCCCATTGAATGATTTATATACCAGTAATAATACTTTAAAATCAATCCTAAATGTAACTGGGAGCCAGTGTAAAGACCTGAGGACTGGTGTGATATGTTCATATGTTCTGGTCCTGCTCAGAATCCTGGCAGCAGCGTTCTGTATGAGCTGCAACTGTCTTATGGTCTTTTTAGGAAGGCCAGTGAGGAGTCCATTACAATAATCCACCCTGCTGGTGATGAAAGCATGCACAAGTTTCTCTAAGTCTTGACTGGAAACAAAGCATCTAATTTTTGCAATATTTTTCAAATGATAGTATGCTGATTTAGTTATTGCTTTGACATGACTACTGAAACTAAGGTCTGACTCTAGAGACACACCAAGATTCCTGACTTGATTTTTAGTTAGACCCCTAGCGTCAAGGTATGCATTCACCTTGAGAACTTCATCTTTGTTTCCAAACGCAATGACTTCAGTTTTGTCTTTGTTTAACTGAAGAAAGTTTAGGCACATCCAACTGTTGACTTCATCAATGCATTGGCACAGGGAGTCAATGGGGCTGTAGTCGTTAGGCGATAGGGCTAAGTAGAGCTGTGTGTCGTCTGCATAGCTGTGGTAAGAGATTCGGTTCTTTCTCATTATTTGGCTCATTGGGAGCATATACAGGTTGAATAGGAGTGGTGCAAGAATTGAGCCTTGAGGGACTCCGCATGTCATGGACGTCCACTCAGACTTATGGTCTCCTATACTCACATAATAACCTCTCCCTTCTAAGTATGACCTGAACCATTTTAGGACTATCCCAGAAAGCCCCACCCATTTTTCCAGCCTGTCAAGAAGTATGTCGTGATCGACAGTGTCAAATGCAGCACTGAGGTCGAGTAGTACCAGCACTGATAATTTGCCTGTATCAGTATTTAAGCAAATATCGTTTATTATCTTTATGAGAGCTGTCTCTGTGCTGTGATGCGATCGGAAACCAGATTGAAAATTGTCAAAGTATCCATTCAAGCTTAGGAATTTGTTCAATTAGACATTAGTATATAATTAAAATGAATAATGGTAGCTAATAGCCTTATTGGCCTGTTTAGCTGAGACATTCATAGAACAAACAAAACAAACCCTGAAAATTGATAAAAGAACATATATACACTTGATATTAGATGATTAGATAATTGCATTTGAAATATTTTACTTTCAATAAAACATTTGCAATAGATTTGCAAAAGCGGTTTTTATGCATGTTTGGCATGGGTTGTTGTTGCATTTACACTGTTCTGACCACTAGGGCTCACCGTGGAGACAGGTGTCGGATTGTTTGTTTCAACTGTTTCAGTGTTTCACAAAGCATCGATCTGCCCACCACTACAATATAATAATCAGACAGGAAAAGCAACACACACTAAATGCAATGTAGACCGAACTGAGAATGAATGTGAGGGATCAACTTATAAAGCAAACACAAATGAGGATAATTAATAGGACGCAGCTGAAACCAATGAACACAAATGCAACAATGGAACACATGATTAGAATAAAATCAAACTAAAAGTCCATGATGATGACACTAACAGAACATAATGTTTGCGTCCTTTTTGAGAATGAAGATAAAAATAGCTGAATAAAGGCTTAAATTTAGATCTGTTCCTCGCAATCGCACAGATTATTTATGGTTCTATTGTCAGTAACAGCATATAGGACTATACTGAGAAAAAGCCTTTTGTAATCATAATCATAATGGTTAAATGATTAGAGAAATGTTATTAATTTTTTAGGTTTCAAAGTGTTGTCTTGTTTAACATTATGTAATCTTTCTAAACGTGTTTGCTGCAGAAGTCACGAACAGATCGAAATGTTATCATTTCATATAAAGTAAATCCAATAAAGATTTATATAAAGCGTGCAATCCAATAAAGGAAGCCCTTTCCGGGCTAGAGCGATAAACTTCACGGCATGATCCATTTTAGGGTCTGTTGTTCTGTCATTTGAAGAAGATTAATACAAAGATACTTTTTTCACAACACTTAAAACATAACCAAACTCAGAAGTAACGTTAACGACAACCAACAAAGAGAACCGAAAATACCGGCAAATAAATACTCATCGATAATTAATGACGAACAACTGAACAGAATGACATATCAGTAACCATAGGTTGAATCCGAAATCGCCCCCTATACCATCAAATAGGACGCTTGGAGGGGACAGCCATTTGTAGTGGTGTCCAAAACCGCACTCATTCAATATACATTGCACCAATAACGAGTGTACAGCCGATGTACACTCAACGGGTGTCCGAATTCATTCACTCGTTTTCATTTACTCCTTCAAGTGAACAGTTACTGGACTAACGTAGGGAATTGAGAATGAGGGTTTAGGGGCCGACTTCGGATTCAGCCATAGTGGCAGACCCAGGCGGGAAACTAGAACAAAGGAAACATGTGACTGAAGGAAAGCAAACTAAAAGTCCATGAAAATTAAACTGAGACAAAACAACTGAATATCTGTAACAATCACTTAGACTGGGATTCCATCATTTGATTTTTTTTAATCATTATTCAACTAAATTGTCCAAATTCATCAGTTGAGTAAATTAATACATGTATCTATTCTCTTTAATGATATTATTTATAATATACTGGATGCTGCATCATTATCCTGTACATGCTAAACTTATCTCTAAATATGTTCTAATTTAATATAACATTTTCTTGAAGGGAAGCTTCTTCACACATTATACCCTACTGGTCAAACCTTAAATACACTGTAAGACTATCAAAATCAAACTACTATCAACTAACTGCACGTGCACTAGGACACAAAGACGGTAATACAAAATGCTAAAGCTAATTGCTAACGACTAAATCAAAATACAGCAGATAAACCTGATATTTATAATAATTAATGTTTAATGATGCTTAAAAGTTTTCCATTTGTTATTCCAGTTTAAATAAAGGCTTTAAAAACAAAACACAGCAGGCCAAACAAAGTTTGCTAAGAAGTAGGCCTATGACACTATTTGTACAAATAGCGTTTCATTCCGAATTCATCAAACGTACCTGTTCTTCATGATAGTCCAAAATATGATTTATTTGACTATATTGCATATAAATATTTCTGAACTTAGGGTGAAATACTATTTTTTCAACAGAGAGTATCATAAACACTTCCGCATCTTCTGTATATGCCATGCTTTCTATCAGACGTAAGTGACGTCAACAGTAATCACATGAACTGATCAGACATGCGCACCAGACATTCGTCAAACTTCCTTAGGTTTACTTCGGTATATTCATGACTCTTGATCTTCTACTGAATTTTCACTATTATTAATATGGATCTCAGTCATTGTGTTTCTGATGTCATTCATTGTATCTCCAATCATCTGTCTGTCATGTCTGGACATTAATTAATCAATAAAAAACATGACAAAAAGCACAGTTTTATTTCTCTTCTTAGTCTACAAAATATTAGGCTAGTTTCACTGAAAAATAATCAAGTTATGCATAATGATAAAAATAAGCTGGTCTTTTCAGCAGGTTGCTATAGTCGTCCTTATGGCTGATGTGACGTTAGATCATATTAGTGAAATGAACAGCAGTGAATTAAGTAAATGGACTCAGACTTACATGAGAATGAGATTGAAGCTTCTTTTATAAACTCCCTTTGAGAAAATGTTGTTTTCAGGATCCTGATCCTCAAGTAAAACATTTCTCTGAATGATGTCTTATATTTTTGCCTGCTGTCATTGTGCTTTAATTCACTGTCAAGTTTTGACTTTAACACTGTTAGACCAGGACAAGATCGCAGTTTCCAGCAACATTCTCGTTCTGACCTACAGAGAAGAGTGAGAGAAAACTTACAACAGTGGAATAAAGCCTGGCTTTTCATGAATTTGCCTTTCAAATGGTTTTCAGAAATGAATTAAACAGATGACATTTTTCTATAAGAAGAAGTTACCTTTTTTTCATATCTGGGCTCAATCCATAAAGATCAGCCTCACAGTTCCTCTCTCTTGTTTTCATGCTGACAGACTGAACAAGAGCTGAGAGACTGACGCTGATATTCCCTGACGTCTGATGGGAGGAGGAACTGTAGTTGTCAGACTAGATGAGCTGGTGATTGGGCAAGTACAGTGTGTTTTGTTTATTCTGCATCTTCATTCTGACCTACAGATAAACTAAAAGATAGAAAGCAAAAGTCTCAAACTCACAGCCTTGTCATTCTTTTGCCTTTCAAACTTTGCTTATTATAAACATACAGTATCAGCATGTATAGGTTTGATTGTATATGTTGCTTGTTTGAATTTAATTTAACTTTTTTAATTCATTGGCACACGTACATTTGTTTTGCTCTATACATGCATTCTTTTGTAATGTTATAATGTTAATCGATTCAAGATTGAACTGGCTATGTTGGGATGTTAAAAGGCTTTATGCCAAAGCACTGGTAACATTATTTTACATACATACACAATTACACACAATAAAAAAAAAAAAAGTTTGATAAAATAAAAATTATGAAATGGAATTGTTTTATATAATTGTTATTCATTGTTGATGTTATTGTCCTGTTGCACTGATTATTACTATTTTGTCATGACAGGAAGTCACAAACCTGCAGGCAGATTTGCATTTAACTTTTCTTTTTGTATTGTAAGTATTATAGCATTTCGTAGTGTGTTATTGTAGTATATGGACAAAATGCTTTTGATACATATTGTCATCATAATGTTTCTTAATCACACATAGACATTCAGTTTGATTTTTCTTCAGTGGTTTACAGAGGTTTGACTTGATGCCATTATCTGATGCATTTTATTTAATAGGAGTGCTTGATGTGGGTTGGTTATGATGAGGGTACATTTATTTGGAGTTCAAACATTGATACTTTTCAAAGAATCTATTCCAAATGTGCACACAAATGAAAACTCATATTACTGCAGATGTTTGGGTTTTTTTTGGCTTCTTGCCTCCTCTGAATATACCTGAAAATACTGGAGTAGATCGTAAAAATAATATGCCTGTAATTTGAAAACATACAACTTTATGTAAAATTGAAAATACTTTGTACACCATAGATGATCAGTTATATATTATACGTTAACAGATTGTGTTAAATATATAAAATATTGGATGACCTGTAATTTTCTTCAATTAAATTCAGATGAGACTGAGGTATTACTTATTGGACAATAAACCTGTCCACAGAATCTCTTAGAATACAATTTGCATTTTGAAGGATGTACAGTTACTTCATCCTTTACAGTTAAAGACCTGGGAGTTAAATTAGACAGCAAATTATCATCGAAAATCATATTTCAAATGTTACAAAAACAGCCTTCTTCCACCTCAGAAACATTGCTAAGCTCCGGAATATTATTTCTGGTTTCTGATGCAGAAAAGTTAGTTCATGCATTCATGACCATAGACTAGATTACTGTAATGCTTTATTAGCTGGTTGTCCTGTATCCTCAATAAACTACAATTAGTCCAAAATGCAGCTACTAGAGTTCTTAATAGGTCAAGAAGATATGATCATATAACCAGAGGTGGGTAGTAACGAAGTACATTTACTTCGTTACATTTACTTGAGTATTTTTTTGAAAAATTTGTACTTTTAAGAGTAGACTTAATTGTGGCTACTTTTACTTTAACTCGAGTACATTTCTAATGAAAAAACTGTACTTTTACTTCGTTACGTTGGGCGACGTTCCTCTCGTTACTTTATTTTAATACAATATGTTATTAAAAGCGTATAGTTTATTCTAAGCGCGCACTCTCTCTTTTTTTCTGGGCATGAGCGATGCTCAATTCACAAATGAATCACTCTTTTGAGTCGATTCTGTTCAAAGACTTCATCAAACAAGTTGGGCAGATCTGTCTAAATCGGTTCGCGAATCAGTTTGAATGATCTGTTCAGTTGCCTGCACGCACTGAATCGTCTCGGAGTCGTAACAGGAAGATTTAAGAACATCAAGAGCGTTGTATGAAGTGGCGGTGTCACGGTTCACGAATTCATTGTGTTCTTCGTGTCTCGTGTCTTTGTTGTTACACGTGTGTGGGTGTGTGAGTAGAGGGCGTGGTCAGCTCGTCAACGCTGATCAGCGCGCAGCTGGTTTCACTTTCTGTCACCAGCTGCAGCTCATTCACTTACCTATTTATACTCACTGTTTTGTCTTCTCCTTTGTCAGATCGTTGTTTGGTGTTCTTGTTGTGTGTTCCTGAGTTCCGGTTGACGTCCCGTTCTTGTGCCTTGGTTCTCGTTCCTGATTCTGGTCGTGTCTTCGTCTCCGTGTCTGGATTACCACTCAAGTCATGATCTTCACCATCTACCTTCCATCTTCACTCTGTTGGCCATCGACGTCCCTGCGCTACACCCTGTGTCTCTCCTTGTTCTGACCAATATTATTAATAAACTGAGTTCCCTTTCGAACGGTCACTTCGTATTGCGTAGCTATACGCAGTGGGGAAACTCCCTTTCCTCGATTTACTGAAGCCTATATGTAAAACGCATTTGCAGCTGCACAGCCAGCCCCCTGAGCGTCTGACCCGCTCATAGGCTGTGCTGCAGCAACTGCACATCCAATGGCGCGGGCGAATCTGACGCACAACCAATAAGCTAGCCCAATGTCAGAGCCCGTCGAGGGGGGCGTGCCCCGCCTACATAGACCCCCGAATTCACCATTATAGCAGATTTTACTCCTTCAGCGACAGTACACATGTCCCTGAGCTTTTTACTGTAGCATTCGCCGTCGAACAAGCCTTTCAGCCTGAGCGTGCTTCTCTTCAGCAGACTTCGCCTGCACGTCGATTTCTCCTGACGCCGTCTCACCTGTGGCTATCCGGCGACATTTATATCCTTTGTGCTTATTGCTAACATTCTATTTCAGTATGCCTCGTCCATCCTGCGCCACGTGCCGAGGCCGTCTGCACGAGGCAGACCAGCACACTAGCTGCATTTCCTGCCTGGGGATCGACCACGCAGAGAATGCTCTCTCTGCCGGCGGATGTGAGGTCTGTGACTGCATGCCTATATCCGCGCTGCGCAATCGGCTAGCTCTCTCCCGGGACGGCGAGGCCGCTTCATCCACGCTTTCCGTTCCAAGGAAGAAGCGTCGCAGCCAACGGCAACCGGAGGGTATGGAGATTTGTGAACGCACGCCGGCCGCGTCCCCGCGTGCTTCACTTTCTCCGACTCAAACGCCGCCCCCACGTTTTGTTTCTCCCCCCCCCCCCCACACCTGGCGGGCCTCGTCTCCTTCGGCGGATCTCTCGAGTGCGACGACAGCTTATCCATCGCCGCTTCTGAGGACGAGTGGCCGGGCTCTCTCGACCCCGTCACCGCTTCTCAATCGGTGGCCAGCGGATTAGCGACCAGGACGAATTCCGACGCCGAGATGCTTCGGATCATGACGAAGGCCGTCGCGGACCTCGACCTCGAGTGGGCCTCGCCCGAGGAGCCGCCTCGTAGTCGGCTGGATGGATGGTTTCTGGAGGGGCGCCAGCAGGCCCCGCGTCACAAACCGGCGCCATTTTTCCCCGAGGTCCACGAGGAGCTAACCAAGGCCTGGCGCGCTCCATACTCAGCACGTGTGGGATCCGCAGTTTCCGCGACGCTCTCCTCTGTGGATGGCGCAGCGGAAAAGGGTTATGAGTCTTTGCCACCCCTCGAAGAGGCCGTGGCAGCTCATCTTTGCCCGAGCTCTGCAGCTAGCTGGCGAGCTAGAGCCGCTCATCCCAACAAACCCTGCCGTAACACCTCAGCCCTCGCTGGACGCGCGTACGCCGCCTCCGGCCAGGCTGCATCGGCCCTGCACACGATGGCCGTGTTGCAGGTCTACCAGGCCAAACTCCTCCGGTCCATGGACGAGGCTGGCCCGAACCCGGAGACTTTTCGGGACCTGAGGAGTGCTACGGACTTAGCGCTGCGTGCTACTAAGTCTACAGCACAAGCCATCGGCAGAAACATGGCTAGTTTGGTCGTGCTCGAGCGCCACCTGTGGCTTAACCTCACCGAGATCAAGGAGGCCGACAAAACGAGGTTTCTCGATGCTCCGGTCTCTTCGGCCCGGCGGTGAAGGGATTCTCGGAGAGGTACACGGAGGCACAGAAAGCGTCCCAGGCAATGCGACACTTCTTGCCGAAGCGTTCGGGCTCCGCGTCCAGCAAGCCCAAACCTCCGCCTTCGCCTCATCCAGCCAAGCCGGCGAAACAGGCCTCTCAGCCCCGCCTTGCGGCTGATAGCCAGTGCCAGTCAAGGCCTGCGAAGCGCTACCCGCTCCCCAGGCGTCAAGGCCCTCGACCCAGCGCCGCGGCCGACCAGGCGCCTCCGAAGTCGTCCTAGCACGGAGGCGAAAGAGAGAGGGCTCGTGTCTCGCGCTAGCCGGACCACCCTCGAAGAAACCAGCAAAACTTCCCACAGCTCCCTGTTCAGTTCAGGCGGCTGGGGATTTTATTATTGTAAACAGGCCCGCAGCAGTGAGCGCGTCTCTGCAAACAAACGCCGTTTTTCACGGCGACCCAAATAAGGCACAAAAAGAGCATGTTTCACAATCACAACACACGGGTTCACGGTCCCCCTCCACTAGGTGGCCCCCGCCCTGTTGTAACACTGACTTCCCCCCAGGCAAAAGCCTATATAGTCAGTCAAACACTCAGTATGTGCACAAATCACATTATAAGGGTATCAGGTCCCCCTATGTTAGGCGGTCCCCCCCATTCAGTGTGTCACGCCCTAGCCACACGAGTGATGGCCTGGCAAGCCATCCCTGGTGTGTCGAGTTGGGTCATAAACACTATAAAGCGAGGCTACTCGCTCCAATTCGCTCGCAGACCCCCGAAATTCCAGGCGGTTATCGAGACATCGGTGAGAAGCGGCGTGAATCACGTGCTTCGCACCGAAGTTCAAGAATTATTAGCAAAAGCTTATTATTATTAAGCTTTTATTTATTATTAAGCTTTTATTTAGATAGGGACAGATACAAATAACATAGGTACACTTTAACAGTGATCTGATGCATGTATCAATGTTTTTAGCCAAAGCTAATTTACAACATTTGTCCCT